CATCGACCATAAATTAAATTTGAGTACCATTTAGTACCAAATTTCATGATTCGAGCTCTAAAGATTCACCCAAATCCAAATTTTCCAATTAGCATCCATTATTTCCATAAGAACCCTGTTCCACAATCCAACAAAATTTCATGCATACCCCAATCCTACACCCTCACAATGATTCTAGATTCAAATTTCAGGATTCCAACTCTATTGATTCACCCACAATTTAAATTGTACCAAATTTAGTACACATTAGTACGAATTTCCAAAACTTCCTAAATACCCCAATCCTACACCCCGACAGTGATTCTAAACCCAAGTTTCATGATTTCAACTCCATAGGTTAACTCACAATTCAAATTGTACCAAATTTTGTACACAGTAGTACCAATTCCAAAACTTCCTATATACCCCATCCTACAGTGATCCTAAATCCAAGTTTCAGGATTCTAACTCTATCGGTTTACCCACAATTTAAATTGTACCAAATTTAGTACACAGTAGTACTTATTTCTAAAACCTCCTTCTTACCCCAAACCTACACTCCCACAGTCATCCTAAATCCAATTTTCAGGACTCCAACACTATTGGTGCACCCGCTATTCAAAGCGTACCAAATTACCAAGTTGTACCAATTTCCAAAACTTCCTACATACCCCAATCCTACAACCCCACAGTGATCCAAAATCCAAGTTTCAGGATTCCAACTTTATGGGTTGACCCACAATTCAAATTGTATCAAATTTAGTACACAGTAGTACGAATTTCCAAATCTTCTTACTTAACCCAAACCAACACCCCCACAGTGATCCTAAATCCAAGTTTCAGGATTCAAACTCTATCAGTTCACCCACAATTTAAATTGTACCAAATTTAGTACACAGTAGTACGAATTTCCAGAACCTTCTTTTTACCCCAAACCAACATCCCCACAGTGATCCAAAATCCAAATTTCAGCATTCCAACACTATCGGTTCCACCCACAATTTAAATTGCACAAAGTTTAGTACACAATAGTACCAAATTGCAAAAATGCCTACTTATCCCAATCCTACACCTTCACAGTGATCCTAAATAAAAAGTTAATGATTTCAACTCTATCGCTTCACCCACAATTTAAATTGTACCAAATTTAGTACACATTAGTACAAATTTCTAAAACTTCCTAAATATTTCAATCTTACAATTTAACTGTGATCCTGACTCCAAATTTAATGATTATAGCTCTATTGATTCACCTAAAATAAAAATTTACCAAATTTAGTACCATTTAGTACCCATAAGTAATAATTTGTTAAACTGAATCCTGACCCTAATCCTACACCCCTACAATGATCCTAACTCCAAACTTCATTGTTCCAGCTCTGTCGGTTCACACAAATCCAAATTGTACCAATTATAGTACGATTTAGTACTTTTCGTACACATAAGTAAAAATTTCCAAAACTGCGTACATATCCCAATCCTACACTCCGACGGTAATGTTACGTTCAATTTTAAGAATTCCAGCTCGATTTGTACCTCCAAATTAAATTTGTACCAAATATATTAGGTCCATACTGATGTCTGCGAAGTTTTGTTAAAATCAGTTCATATTTAGGTATAGCTCCCATATACAGGGTTGCCCATATTCGACGGACCCATCTGCCAACGCCATAACTTTTGACAGAGATGTCACATCGCTTAATGACATACCGCGTTTGAAGCGTCAGTCCAAGCAGATTTTTACCATGAACCAATACACGCCACGCTAGTGCTCTGAAATAGTTGAAATTTACATTCAACAGAAGAAGTCAATTGTGAAAACTCAAATGTGAGAAGTGCGCCTTCTAAGAACACCATTAAGCGTTTATACGAAAAATTTTCGACTCTTTCTAATCCAAAGAGGCCATATAAAAGTCGACCAAGGCCATCGGCCGAGAATATCGCTGCCGTACGAGCCAGTGTTGAGAGGTCCCCAACATCCCAAAAACGCCGTTCTCAACAGTTGGGCATGGCTCGGTCCATTTTACAACGGATTATTCGCATTGATTTGCATTTGTTCCCTGACAAAATTCAATTGACGCAAAGAATGTTGCCTGCGGACAAGCCTCGTCGATTGGAATGGACCCAAAAAGTCATCGAAAAGTCATCGAGATGACGAGCAATTGTGGAACAAAATTGTCATGTCCGATGAAGCCCATTTCACATTGAATGAGACCGTAAATAAGCAAAATTGCCGTTTTTACGCCACTGAAAATCCTCAGGAAATCCAAGAAGTGCCTCTTCATGACGAAAAAGTCACAGTATGGTGCGGCGTTAGGGCGAAAACAGTCATTGGGCCGTTTTTCTTCCAAAATGAAAATGGCCATGCTGTTACCATCAATCAGGAGCGTTATCGCGACATGATGACCAATTTTGTGATGCCAATTATTCGTCGAAAGCGTATGAGGCAGTTCTGGTTTCAACAAGACGGCGCTCCACCTCACACAAGTCGCATAACAATCGATTTTCTGAAGAATTTGTTTCCGGGCCGTTTGATGTCGAAAAGTGTTGATTTGGACTGGCCACCGCGTTCGCCCGATTTGACGCCGCCTGACTTCTTCTTGTGGGGATATTTGAAGTCAAAGATTTACGTTAACAAGCCAAGGACCGTAGAAGAGCTCAAGGACAAGATTCGTGAAGAAATAGCCGCTATTCCGGCCGAAATGTTGGCAAAAACGATGGAAAATGCAGCAAAAAGGGCACAATACGTCATCAACGCCAGAGGCGGCCATTTGAGAGATATCATATTCAAAAATTGATGTAAACAAATCGACTTGGAACAAATTAAATGATTAACATTTCCAACCGCCAAATTTTTATTTTTTTCTTTGATTTAAACAAAAAAACATGGGTCCGTCGAATATGTCTATCTGTCCATGTTAGTTTCGACCGATTCGACTCCCAATATTTGTCCGATTGAGACAACAATTAGATCCAGATTAAATAAATTAGATCCAGACTAAATTAGATCGGCGAAGTTTTGTCAAAATAGGTTCAGATTTTGATGGTGGTCTTATATATATTTTTATTGCAATGGTTGCTCAATTAGGTAAATGTGTTTATATATATATATATATATTGCATGCAAATGGTACACCAAAGAATCCAAGTCTGCCCGTTTGACATGCAATTTTTCATTGATTTCAGAATGGTATGTGTATAGGTTTTTTTCAATTTGTTCAAATATCTATCTAGATATCACATTTATGTAAATGGTGCACCAAAGTCCCTACATATCTTTCGATTCGCACGAAATTTGGCATAGCGTAATAAATTATATCTAGAATGATGTGTGTTAAATTTCCTGGAAATCGGTCCAGATGTAGATATAGCTCCTATATATATTTTCGTCCGATTTAAGGTAAATGGTGCGCCAAAGTCCCTAAATATCTTTCGATCTGCACGAAATTTGGCATAGCGTAATAAATTATATCTAGAATGATGTGTGATAAATTTCCTGGAAATCGGTCCATATTTAGATATAGCTCCCATATATATTTTCGTCCGATTTAAGGTAAATGGTACGCCAAAGTACCTAAATATCTTTCGATCTGCACGAAATTTGGCACAGCGTAATTAATTAGGTCTAGAAGGATGTGTGTTAAGTTTCCTGAAAATCTGTTCAGATTTAGATATAGCTCCCATATATATTTTCGTCCGATTTTATGTAATTGGTGCGCCAAAGTCCCTATATAACGTTCGATTTGCAAGAATTTTGGTATAGGGTACTGAATTAAGTCTAGAATGATGTTGCTAAGCTTCGTGAAAAGATGCATATCTAGGCCGATTGACACAACGTACTGATGTAATATAAATTAGTCTCTGGCAAGTTTCCTTCAAAATCGGTTCAGATATATTCTACATATGTTAGGATACATATGTAGAATATACCGAAAGTGGTGAAGGGTATCATTTAGTCGGCCCAGTCCGACTTTACTACTTTTCTTACTGGTTATATTTACCAGATGATAGAATCGAATTTTGCTTGCAAACAAGCAATAGAAAGTCGAAATTGTAGAAAGACTTTTTCTGTTAATAAACTAAACACAAGTTCTGATTTAATCTAGACTGCCAATTATTTTCTATGACTTCTATTTATACAATATTTTTAATATTTACAGGAATTACATGAACTTTTAATGAACAAATTAAACAAAAGTTACCAAAAACAACATTAAAAAAATTACTTCTTAAAAAAAATGCATAGACCCGTCATGGTCAACCAATAGAGTCCAACATAACTCCAAGCAAAATATGACAATAATAACGATTTTTTCATGCACCAACAACAACCAATTCACAAAATTTTGTGACTAATTAAAAAGAATTGCCTTGGCATAAAGTTCGAAAGTTCACAAACATTCCCCAAACACCCAGAAAGTAGACGAAGAAAAATACGGAACGGAACTTGATGGTCATTAAAAAAACGAGGAAAGGCCATTACAGCATCAACAGCTCTCTGAGTCATTCACTCACTTTCACGGTTATTGAAAGAGAAGAGTCAGCCCGACTAAAAAAAAACACTAATTGACAAACGTCCTTTGCAGCCAGTCAGTCAACCAGTAAACCAACCAACTAACCAGCTGCACCAATAGCCCACGGCGGCATTCTTCTCCTCCTCATCATCATCATCAACATCATCAGAAATTACAACACTAATTACGAAAATTGCCTGTATCAAGGGAAACAACGGAAAAGTGCCAACGATTTTTATTTGGACACCCAACCAGCAAACTTGCCATACTGACGCTGCCACGTGCAACACCATCACCACGGTGACATTGACCAACCAACCAGCCAGCCAGCCAAACGCAGTGAAACAAAGAGGATCCGAAAAAGCAGAACAAAAAAAAACATTGCCCATGAAATTACTTTCTCTGCTACTTGCCAGCAAACACACACACGGACACGGGCACACACACCACCACCACCATAACCACCACAGCACCAACATGTCCCTTTTAAATAAGTTAAGTAAAAAAATGCGCTGGTTACGATGGTCAACGGTATTCGCCATTCTCTTTTATATGTTCTTCATCGGTGTGATATTGCATTCGACCACCTACAAATTACAGCATTCCTTGAAAAACAATCAACAGCATCGACATGGCCACCACAGTAGCGAGGACAGCCAACAGCAACCTGACCAAATGCCAGAAAACCAACACATTTACCAACACCGACTGTCACAGACACAGTCGCGGCATAATGACGAGGAATTCGCCTCACTCTATGAGGACCTGAAGTCGGCCACACATCAAGCCGGCGGAGGTGGTGGCAGTAGCAATGTGTTAACGGATACCCTGACACGAAGTGCTGTGATGCCAGTGCCAGCCGAGGCAGCATCATTGGCCTCGTCCTCATTATCCACAGCGAGCAAACAGGAAAAGAAAGGTACCTCAGCGTCAGCTGCATCATCATCAGTAGCCTCACCGGAAACGGTAATATTGGTAGCAAGTTCGGCTAATGAGAAGCATATTTTGGAAAAGGCTTTTAAAAGGTAAGTCAAATGTTTTTACTTTTTTTTGTAATAAAAGTTCACATTTTAAGAGTAACTTTATTTCGATGTTCCACCCGTTTCGCATAGTCGTGACTTAAATTCTGTTACTGGTTCTGATGGGCGAGGGGGGTAACTGAGTTAAAAGGTGTTAATTTCTTGGCCAAATTTTATTTACGACCTGTCAACGCAATTTTGCTGATGCCTGCTGAGCTTTGATTTACATTATTTTTCAACTAAAAATTGTTATGCATCAGCTTGTTCTACTTTTATGGTGAATTTACACTGAGAGGAATTTTTAATAATATATAATTTGAAAGGACTTCGAGTCAACATATGTGAACTTCGAACCATTGCATACTCATTTCGAATCTATAACTCTAGAAATCGTGTCAATTGCTATTGACTCCGAGTCATGATAATTGACTCCGATTTAATGATTATTGACTTCGATTCAATTACTATTGACTTCGAAGCAATGCTCACTAAATTGATTCAATGTCTATTGACATCAAGTCAATCACTATTGACTTCAAGTCAATGACTATTGACTTCTACTCGATGCCTATTGACTTCTAGCCAATGACTATTGACTTCTAGTCAAAGACTATTGACTTCTAGTCAAAGACTATTGACTTCTAGTCAATGACTATTGACTCCTAGTCAATGACTATTGACTTTTAGTCAATAACTATTGACTACTAGTCAATTACTATTGACTTCTAGTCAATTACTATTGACTTCTAGTCAATGACTATTGACTTCTAGTCAATGACTATCGACTTTTAGTCAATGACTATTGACTTTTAGTCAATGACTATTGACTTCTGTTAATGACTATTGACTTCTAGTCAATGACTATTGACTTCTAGTCAATGACTATTGACTTCTAGTCAATGTCTATTGACTTCTAGTCAAAGACTATTGACTTCTACTCGATGCCTATTGACTTCTAGCCAATGAGTATTGACTTCTAGTCAAAGAATATTGACTTCTAGTCAATTGACACGATGTCAATGTCAATTGACATCGTGTCAATGTCAATTGACATCGTGTCAATGTCAATTTACATCGTGACAATGTCAATTGGCATCGTGTCAATGTCAATTGACATCGTGTCAATGTTTATTGACATCGTGTCAATGTTAATTGACATCGTGCAATGTCAATTGATATCGTGTCAATGTCAATTGATATCGTGTCAATGTCAATTGATATCGTGTCAATGTATAATGACATCGTGTCAATATATACTGAAATCGTGTCAATAGCTAAGATATCGTGCCACTCTCAATTAATATCGAGTCAATGTCTATCGGCATCGTGTCAATGTCAATTGACATCGTGTCAATGTCAATTGACATCGTGTCAATGTCAATTGACATCGTGTCAATATCAATTGACATCGTGTCAATGTCATGTGACATAGTGTCAATATCATTTGACATAGTGTCAATGTCTATTGACATCGTGTACATGTCTATTGACATCGTGTACATGTCTATTGAATTCGTGTCAATGTCTATTGAATTCCTGTCAATAACTATTGACATCGAGTCCGTAACTATTGACATCAGCTCAATAATATTGAAATCGAGTCAATAATATTGACATCGAGTCAATAATATTGACATCGAGTCAATAATATTGACATCGAGTCAATAACATTGACATTGAGTCAATAATATTGAGATTGAGTCAATAATATTGACTGTTGAAATCGGGTCAATGACTATTGAAATCAGGTCAACAGCTTTTGACTCCAAGTCAGTACGATTGAGTCCAAGTCAATACTGTCAATACCAATGACTCGAATTTCAATGTCGATATGTCAATACTCATTGACACCCAGACTATACTCATTGACTCATTGAAGTCATTAATCAATGGCTATAAGTCAATACTCATTGAGTTATACGCAATAGACTTGATGTCATTGATTGCTGATCTGTCATTAATTTGAATGTAACTCTTCGTGCGATTTAATTTTTTTAATTTTTCTCAGTGTGTCCACGATTGCGAATCAAGAACACATCACTCATATGACAAGAGTTTCGTGTCATGTCATTCTACTTTTGGTGTAATCAAGTATTCCAATCTGACAGTGGATTCGCAAATTGTGCTCGATGTAATGCTCGACACCAACATCGACACAGTGTTGGTTTTTGGGTGTGCCTACAAGCTCGTTATCAATGGCCCCAGCATCAGATGCAGCAATCGAGCAACACCATTATCATTACCACCATCATCACAACATCGTCGTCGTGGTAGTTGTCGTTTCCCTCCATCATCGTTATCTCTATCAGCAGCGTAGCCATCATCAACGTCATTATTCTGCAACACACCATCATTTTTGGATCTCTCTTCTTCTTCATGATGATGATGATGTTATTGTTGCTGTAGCTGTTGTTGTTGATGTGATGTCCACTGTCACTTTGTCATTCAGTCATTGTATTCCATCAATTTGTTAGCAGTGTAGGTTGTCAGAATGCATTTTGTGCATTGTTGCCGGCCATAGCAGTAGTAGTGGGTCATTAACAACTGGGCCCCCAAAAGGACTTCTCCTGATATATTGCAATTTATTATATGTTGTGTGAGAGTTTTTTTTTCATGTTTCCTCTTCATCTGCTTTTGTTGTGCATCCAACAACAATGGCGACCGGCCGTGTGTGTGTGTGAGTTATATTGTCACCATGATGTGTAAAACTACATTGATGAGATACGAGATGTGTTTGTGCGTTTGTGTATGGATGTGTGTTTATGTGTCACACAATTTCGAAAAGTGAAATTGGAATTAATTATTTTTCCGTGTCCATTTACTATAAAATATTTTTTTCGTTTCATGTTTGACCGACATTCAGTTTGTTTCATTCATAATGCATACGTACTCGTATGCATGTATGAATGTATGTGTGCCGCAATATAATTCCGCAGATGATACCAAATTGTTATGAATAATTATGATTGTTAAAATGGAGAGTTTAATTTCTATATATAAATATATATTTTTTTTACAAGAGAATAAGTTATTTAAATTATTTGAGGAAGTGATGATGAGAATTGTGGGAAAAATGTTATTATCCTTTTTAATTCATTGGAATTTTTTGTATAGGAAAACTTTTTTATCAGTCACTAATCACTATTGATTTTTTTCCAATCAGAAAAAAGTATTCCTTGGCCACTCATTTTTTTCGTATTAGAAGGAATCTCCTTCGGCCATTGAGAATTTTTTCCTTACGTATTTTTTTCTTATTGGAAAATATTTCTAAAGTTCTTGTAACTCATTTTCGCATAGGAATTTTTTTCTCCGCCACAGAAAATATTTTTCCTATTGGAAAAAAGTTTCCTCCGTTACTGCATTTTGTTCCTATTGCAAAAAGCCTTCATTAGTCACATAGAATTTTTTTCAGTATAAAACCTCTTCCTCCGTCTCTGAAAAAATTCTTGCTCAGTCACTGAGTCATTTTTTTTTTTAAGAAAAAATCTTCTTAGTTAATGAAATATTGGAAAATATTGGAAATATTTTTCCTTAGCGCCTAGGGAAGATTTTCTTATAAGAAAATGTCATCATATATAAATAGTCTTCCTCTTTCTTTGAGGAATTATAGGAAAAAACCATCCACAATGACTAAGGATTTTTTTCCAATAGGAAAATTTTTTCTTTGACTCTGAAGAATTTTTTTAGGGGAAAAATTTATTCTCTATCACTGAGGATTTTTTTCCTATAAAATCTTCCACAGTCACTAAACATAGGAAGGAGGATTATTATTTTTGTCTATAAAAAAAATACTTTTAATTTAATAATATTTTTTCATATAGGAAAATGTGTTTCTCAGTCAATGAGGAATTTTGTCTACAGGAAGAAGCGGACATTTTTTCTTATAGTAGAAATTCTTCTGCAGTTCCTGGGGAATTTTTCCTATTAGAAAAATTCATCATCTGTCACTGAGAATTTTTCCCTAAAGGAAAAATACTTCCTCAGTCAGTGAAGAAATTTTTCCTATGCGAAAACACATTCCAGAGTCACCGGAAAAATTCTTCCTCTATCACTGAGGATTTTTCCCTAAAGGAAAAATACTTCCTCAGTCATTGAAGAAATTTTTCCTATGCAAACATATTCCCGAGTCACCGGAAAAATTCTTCCTCTGACACTGAGAATTTTTCCCTAAAGGAAAAATACTTCCTCAGTCAGTGATGAAATTTTTCCCATACGAAAAAATATTCCTGAGTCATCGAAGATTCACTTCCTATTGGAAAATATATTTTTCGGTCCCTGAGATTTTTGTCTTATAGGAAAACGTTTCCTTAGTCACTAGAATATTTATACCCTACACAACTATGTTGTCAGGGTATTATAGCTTTGTGCAGCCCCAAGAGTTTGTAACGCCGCGAAATATTGGTCCTAGACCCACCTTTAAGAGATTTTTGTCTAATAGGAAAAAGTTTCCTTAGTCACTAGAATATTTATACCCTACACAACTATGTTGTCAGGGTATTATAGCTTTGTCCAGCCCAAAAGTTTGTAACGCCGCGAAATATTGGTCCTAGACCCACCTTTAAGTATACCGATCGTCATATCTCGACTAGCTGAGTCGATCTAGACATGTGTGTCCGTCCGTCCGTCTGTCCATTATAATTTGTAAACATGATACAGGCCACAGTTATGGACCAATCTTCATGAAATTTTGCATATAGAATGGGTTCTGCCCAATGAAGACCCCTATTGTTTTTGGTAAAGATCGGTTAATATTAAGGGGATGAAATGGACCAAAAACTTTATTTTTCTTTGATTTTCTGGTCGCTCCTGGGGCTGCAATTATGGTCCAAACATCGCGAAATTTTACATGGAGAAGGGGATCGGGCCGAAGAATAAGCATGCCTGTTTTGATAAAGATCGGTCACTATTTAGTGGGTGAAATGAACCCTGACTTTTGTGTGAAAAATGACAAAATTTGTATTCTATAGCGTATATATTTATCCCTTAATGGCCTAGACACGAAAAGT